ATATGTAGATAAATGTCTAAAGTAAGGTCAAACTACATAATTATGTATATATATATATATATATATATATATATATATATATATATATATATATATATACATACATACACTAAAATATGTGTATAAGATGAAAGGCAACCGTATATACGTATTTCTGAATATTGGTCGTCGTCAGTACGGTGCAGCCAAGTTAGAAAAGAAGCATATAACTTGGGAAAGGATCACTACAGGAGCAATGCGAACCAGTTTGTGGCAATAACGTTAGAAGACTCTGAAGTTTCCAGAACAACAACTAACACGTCCACGGAGGAAGCTAAGCTACCTGAGGAAAGGAATGCCAAATGTAAATTTAGGAAAGGAATGTAAATATATAGTATGTAGGTTGATAAAGGCTACATTTTAAAATTATTCTAAAATATACAGGGTGTCACAATAAAGCGCGGAGTTTCAAAGTTATATTTTTTCTTATGGAATACCCTGTATTTTATTGGATTTTCTAATTGTCTGCAAAAAATAAGGTACAGTTTCATAAGACTTCTCTATACCTATGTACAGAGTGTTATATGTCGAATTTTTCTAAAATGTAAAACTTGAAACGAAGACTAATTCTTAATTTATTTAAGCAATTCTAATAAAATTACTCATACATCTGAATAGCTAGATATTGGTCGAATGTATTTCATGATTAATTATTAAACATTTATTTACAGGGTTTTCAAAATTTCAAGTTTTATTATTGGATTATTCAATGTGTAATATAAGACTTATTTTAAATAGAACACATTGTATATTAATGAATTTTTAAATAAAAAATTTTTTTTCTCTTTCTAGTGATATACGGATGTACTATAATTAGGACTGATAGTTTTGCCGTAATTTAAAATTTTATTAAATTTTTTTATAATTCTTGTTACTTTCGAGTTTTAAGCCAATCATATTGACATATTGTTATAAACGAAACCAGTGTAGTTGTAAATACATTTTTTGTAAAAAAATTAAAATTTCTATGTCTTTGGATTCGTATTCGTTGGGAATAGGATAATTAGTATTAAAATATAATGAAAAAAAAAATAAAAAAAAATTGTTGAAAATCTGGGGTTTTTTAGATTTTCTACGATTCATCAAGTGAAAGGCAACTGCGCAAAGGTTACAGTTTTCAAAAATGAAGTAGATATTAACGTTATATTTAATTTTTTGTATTATTTTAAGTATTAAAATAAGTTTAATATTTAAATAAAAATTAAACTGTAAAATATATGTAATTCGTTGAATTCATAATAATAATAATGAGATGTACCTATAACTTCTCACGTGCTTACGAGCACACACACTCTTTTTTTTTAAACAATTAAATACATAACGAAACAGAAAAAATTTTAATAAAACAAATAATACAAAATTAATAATGAATATAAATAATACAAAGTAATCCTAAACTAATCTTAAAAGTATAACTAAAAAATGTTCAGGTATGTAACAGATGTTCAAATTGCTTGTTATCTTGTGCAATACAACAAGAGATTCTATGTTCGAATGATTTGGCGCCGCCCCAAACATTAATACTCCATCGGTGTTGGCGATCAACAGTACGAAATAAATGTTTATTTTCTGTGTCATAATAATGAAAATTATGTCTATTTACTAGACCATTATTATGAAAAGTCGAAAAGTGGTTGGTCTTAAGTATTCTACATACACTAGTTTGACTAATTTCTAATTCACTCGAAATTTTTCTTGTACTAATATTTGGGTTTTCCGTAACAGAAAGCAGGACATTAAGTTCGTTAACGCTGTCACCAATAACTGGTTTATTTTTATTTACTTTTTCGTATGCAACATTACCAGTAGCACGGAATCTATTAAGCAATCTCTCAAAAACTTCCTTGTGTGGGTGTCTTCTATCAAGATACTTTTGAGCGTAAACTTTAGAAGCTAAGAGACAATTTTCCAAACATTCTCCAATGCAAAGTATCATGTCAACTCTTTCATGGATAGCGCAATTCTTCCTTTTTAGGAACAATGAAAGTTAAATAAGTATTACACATGAATGTTTATATTTTGACAATTACCAGACCGTAATGTCAGAAACTGACAATGTTATACAATGACAATAACTAACTATATCTTTTGTTTTAAAATCACAAATACCGATGAAGAGTTTAAATAATTGTAAATTACGCAAAAATTATGAGACTTAAGTATAGGACATCTTTATACCGTTCAAAAGAGGAAACTTTTTTTTAGTATTACGTGTTTGGGATTTTTCATTTTGTACAATATAGGATTTTTAGGTAAGTTTTGCAACAGTGTGTAGTTACAACCTGTAAGACTAATGCCCTCTCCAGAGTGGCAATGTACAAGGGGAGTGACGGAGTAAGGTTGTAGAGAGAAGTTGTTATAATGGCAGAAATAACATAGCATAGTTAATTTGTTTGGTTAAATAAAAAGTTGGAAATATCAGTTGGGATATTAATTTTGGCAAAGAAAACCTACGTTAAGAAAAGTTAAAGTTCTTAGCGCAATCATTACTATTAATTAATATCCATATACAAAGACACGAAATACCAAATTAAGAAAAATTCTTCAAAAACACTTACAGATGCAAATCCCACACGACCTAGAATCCGATACAGACAGTGACTGATCACAAACCAATCATTAAATAAATTTATTTAATAAAATAGAGTTCAATAAATTAATACAGTGGAATATCAACGGCTATTACAATAATTTACCTATGCTACAGATCATTCTTTCAGAACAAAATCCAGATTTTGTATGTTTACAAGAGACCAATTGTAAACAAAATCAAAATATAAACTTAAGAAACTATTTGTGTCACAACCAAATAAGACCCAACCAAAACATTGCAAGTGGCGGTGTATCAATTTTAATTAATAATTCATATGACTCGATAAGAATACCTCTAAATACTAACTTAGAAGCCATTGCTGTCACCGTCATTGGAAAAACTAATATAAACCTTTGCAATATATATCTACCTCCTGGAACAGTAATATCCAGAAACGAACTAGAGGATCTTTTCAAACAAATTCCTAGACCACGAATCATCTTGGGAGACCTAAACGCATATAATCAGATTTGGGGATCAGCATATAAAGACCAACGGGGTACTGTAATTGAAGAAATTTTAGATCATTTTAACTTGTCTCTCTTAAATGATGGAAGCCTGACCAGATTTAATATAAGAACTGGAGAAGCTGCTCCACTTGATCTAATAATATGTGACAGCGATCTTTACCCACATTTGTCCTGGTATCCAATGCAATATACATACAACAGTGACCATTATCCATTAATTATAGAAAATAATCAACATAATCGCACAACCCATTTTTCTCCGAAATGGAAAATTGATAAAGCAGATTGGAAGCTTTTTGCCGAACAGATAGAGTCGGATATAAACAAGTACTCGACAACAATAATTAATGTCGAAGAATCTCTAGACAACTTGACCAAAATAATTATTAAGGCAGCTGAAAACTCAATCGGTAAAACAACTCCAACGAAACGCTCCACACCAGTTCCATGGTGGAACGAATCTTGTAAAAAGGTCATTAGAGAAAGTAAAACTGCCTTTAATAAATACAAAAGAAAGAAATCACTTGAAAACCAACTAGAATATAAGAGAACTCGAGCCATAACTAGACTTACAATAAAGACAGCTAAATGTCAGTCCTGGATTGATTATGTTTCTAAAATAAACAGCTCTACTCCTATGAGTGACATATGGAAGAAGATAAAACGAATATCGGGAAAAAATTTGAATTTAAAAATCAACTCACTTAATATTCAAGATAAGGCAATTACCAACGACAACGAAATCGCAGAAGAAATGGCTAACACTTATAAACATAGGTCTAGTAATACCCAGTATAACCAGAGTTTTATCACACTTAAGAAACATAAAGAACATAAACTAATTATTGATTTCGACGAAATAGATAAAAGTCCTATAAACTCACCGTTTTCAATGGAAGAGTACAACGAAGCCCTTACCTCGTTTAGAAATTCGGCAGCGGGACCTGATGATATTCCGGTAAAATTTATAAGAAATTTACCTTCTAAGGCTCATCAGTACTTACTAAAGTTATTTAATTTAATATGGATGCAACATACATTTACATCAAAATGGTCAGAATTAATGCAGAATTATATGCCATATACGAGGCACTCACATATATTATATCCTCACCAAATCAGAAATATATAATTTTGACTGATTCACTAAACTCACTACAATCTATAGGAAGAATATACCCAGAGAAACATATTCTTGAAAAAATAAAACAAAATCTGATAGAGATAGAAAATTGTAATAAGGAGGTAATCTTTATTTGGATACCATCACATATTGTTATTAGAGGCAATGAAGAAGCAGATAAGTATGCGCGTGAAGCCGTCAACTCAGCTGACTCTATTATTGTGAAATACGTGATAGCGTTTGATAGCTAGTGATGTTTTAAGTGTTATCAAATCGCGGATCCTGTGGCAAAGTGAGTGGCAAAACCGGTGGAAATTTTCATTGTACAATCTTCGGAATATTAAACCGAACATTAAACCATGGAGATATTTCTCCACTAAAAAAAGGGATCAAGTGACACTATCTCGTCTTAGATTAGGTCATACCAGCGCCACGCACAAGTTCTTAATTACTAAAGAATCCGAGTGAGCAGTGTAACATTAAACTCTCGGTAAAACATGTTGTAGACTGTCTAGTTTTCTCCACAGCAAGAATTACTTACGGAATCTCAATAAATTTAGAGAAAGCACTTTGTGCAAATTGTTCATTCACAAATATGTTAAACTACTTAAAAGCTATTAATTTTGTTAATATATAATATATTTAATATTGTAAATCTGATTCTCGCTAATAACCTTCGGGTTGATGCGAATTTGTAAATAAAAAAAACTTTTATCTAAAAATATCATTTAAATTATTTTTATAATTATTATAAAATAATTATATTTATTTTTAGTTAAATCCTCAACATACTGTACCTGTATTGGATGATGATGGTTTCGTACTAGTTGACAGTCATATAATTATGACATATTTAGTAGCTAAATACGGAAAAGATGACTCTCTTTATCCAAAAGATATTAAAAAGAGGGCGATTGTGGATCACAGACTTCACTATGATTCAAGTATTTTGTTTCCTAGAGGAGTTTCAATTTCTGTAAGTATTATCTGGTAACAAATATTCTATATTACGGTATTTTAATCTTATGTTTTTTTTTATTTTTCTTCGTAATCCTAAATTGTGGGTTCAAATGTACAGCTATACAGTTTGACATCATTCTTACATCTAATCATGTCGATCAGTATACACAAATTAATTTTAACATATTGATTTTCCTTTTTCAAAATCATACATATTTTTTTGTAGTTTTCGTTTCAAACTTTTAATAGCATCATGAGATAATATTGCAAATAATAGTCGCTTATACATATATCCTTGACAGTTTTCATTATTTCTTACTATATAATTTCACCTGTTCAATTTCAAGAACACTAATAGAAAATTTTTGTAGAGGCCATAGATATAGATATAACTAATCTAAGACTACATTAGAGAACTATGATACCTTTCTGGATACACTCAAGAAAATATTAAGGCGATCAAAAAACATTCTTATCAAATATAAAAAACCATACAACGAAAACCCATTTAACATTACGGATATGACATATAACAGAAAAATTCCATGGAATCTCATTATGAAGCTGAGTTCCCACCCAACTCAGACCAGACAACTCATTAAGTAACACCAGGTCAAGTAGATTACTAGGTCCTTATAAATAAATGACCTAACTTAAGACTACAGAAAGAAAAATAATAAAAAACCCCTAATTTAACAGAAATTGTCTCGAGCCACCTTTCACAGTTAAATAACTAAACCAACCCATTCACATGACAAGGTAGCGCGAGTAATATATGTGTGAAACAAATAAAAAAGTCGCTAAGAACCACATCCTGTTGCTCATTTACAATTGTTGAGACAGCTGAAGAATCCCAAAAATTTGGAGAAAAGCTAATAGGCGAGCGGTTACCCCTCAAAAGACGCTTAGAAACAGAATATACCTACTAAATTTTTTTTTGCATTTCTAATGCACGAAACCTTTTTTATTCGATTCTATATATTTTTCCAAGACGAAATGTATTTTTTTAAAATTTTTACAAGTGGGCCGGCAATTGTTATTAACAAATAACTTATACACAAAAGCAATTTCACCTTATGGCTTCGGAATCAATTTTTTTAGGTATATCTCATCAAAATAAACACTTTTTCTCTCTTGATAATTTTTCGAAAAATGCTTCTTTTTCGAGTTATTTGCATTTTTTTGTTGAAAAAATGCCTTAATTAGTGATTTTTGGGATTTTTTTTCTAAAAAACTACTAAATGAATTGCAATTCTACAAATAGCTTTATAATCTTTAAACCGTCGAGTGCAAGTTAGATTATTTTGACAGGATAATTTTTTTCTATCTTGCTAAAAACGTGGACCCAAATATTTCCAATATGCCTTTCGAGCAGTCTACCGCTAAGTGTGTACAGCGGTTGCGGCGATACAGGCGTGCTGCGCGTAGAAATATTTGTTTAGATTTAAAAAATTAATTTACACAATACAAATATTACGTACAATTTATTTAAAAAAAAAGATATTTATAATTATTTTTATATAGACATATTATAATTAAAACAATTAAAATTAATTTTTTACAATGCTATAATAATGTAATTTTTCTTTTAATATACGTGATGACTCTATTATTGAATGTTTTATTACAGTGAAATACATTAAGCAATATATAATCAATTTTTATTGAAAAATATAATAAAATAAAAATATAATATTGTTTATACATCGTTTTCATTGTCAATAATTTGAAAATTTTCGTCAACAGCAACAGGATTTCCATCTAATAAGCTGATTCCATTGTCTTCAATAAAGTCGTCTTTAACATTTTTACAATTCTCTGGTGTACATGTACATACTGCGCAGCATTCTAAATTATAGGAAATACAATTACAATTTTTCGTAGAACATTTTCCGGTACATGAGCAGAAATAATTTTGTAAAATATCTAAACTAGTTTCGCCTTCAAATAATTAAAATCGAAACAATTATTTTCCATTGTCCAACCATGGGTTAATGGATCAAGAGATGAAATATTATTGTTTTTTGCTTGAATCCATTCATCTATTTGCCTCTCTGCTCTTAAGTAATGTTGTAATAATGCTGGTTTCGAAGGTGGTAATTTTTCATTAGATGTATTTTTTTAATGCAATATTATATCTTAATTCATTTATGGATTCATAATATTTTTTAAACTTATTTTGAGGGTCATACAGTTTAGATAAAAATAGAGTCAAAACTGTAAGTCCTTCATCTAAAGGTAAAGTAGGCAAATTTCTTAATTTTTCCAATTGACTATCAGTTAATTTCTGCAAAGCTTTATAAGCCTTCTTTTTTCTCATATCATAAAATGAACTTGTGGTATCACAACCTGTTATAGAATGCATTATTAGGATACTGTTGCACATTATTTTTCCAATTTCTTTTGCAATTTGATGTACAGGTATATATCGAGAACGATCCACATTTTTTACAATATTTCCTGTGTGAAACCATAAAAGTGGTTTACATGTAAAATCATGATAATGAGATAAAAGTAAAATAAATATATCTGTGTCTGGTGATTTAACAATAATTTATTTAATAAAACAAAAAGTCGAAAATATTCGAGCACCTATAGCACCTCAACCGTTGTACACACTTAGCGGGATACTCTCGAAAGGCATATTCGAAATATTTGATTTTAACTTATACTCGACGGTTTAAAGATTATAAAGCTATTTGTAAAATTGGAATTCATTTAGTAGTTTTTAAAAAAAAAAACCATCCGTTTCTTTTAGGACTATATTTGAATTATTCCATTGAACCCTATGTTCATTATCCCATGCGTGTTTACATATTTGAGATCTATCAAATTCTCTATTTTTAATATAAGATTGATGTTCACTTATTCTAACATTTAATGGCCTTGATGATTCACCTAAATAAAACTGATCGCATTCACAAGGTATTTTATAAATGCAATTCTTTGTCCTTTCTTGTTCATTGTTAGGTTTGGTTTTGGACAAAATAGATCTCAACGTGTTTGTTGTTTTGAATGTTGTTGAAATGTTGAATTTATTTCCTATCCTTTTAAGTTTTTCTGATAATCCTTTTATGTACGGTATTGTTACTTTCCTCATATTATTCCTTGTGTATGCTGTAGGATCTCGTTCTAAGTTGTTCTGTTCTATTCGATCGATTGTTGAAAATTCCTTATTTATAAACGATAAAGGATAATCATTTTTTAATAAAACAGATGTTAACAAATGTTTCTCCTCCAAGAACGAATTTTCGTTAGAGCAAGTAATTTTGGCTCTATCGTATAAGGATTTAATTATTCCCTTTTTTACATTAATATTATGATTTGATTTGAAATTTAAATATCTATTGGTGTGTGTTGGTTTTCTATACACCTGAGTCTCATATCCAGTATCGTTCTTAGAGATTAAAACATCCAGGAAAGGTAGCGTGTTATTATATTCCTTTTCCATGGTAAATGTTATTGTCTCTTCTTTATCGTTTATATCATTTAGGAATGTGTCCAACAACTCTGATCCATGAGGCCATATTGAGAACACATCATCTACATACCTCCACCATACTGTGGGTTTGAAATTTTGTTTAGAAATGATATTTGTTTCAAAATGTTCCATAAATATATCGGCTAAGAATGGAGATAAACTAGAGCCCATTGCTAGACCAAAATTTTGTTTATAGAATTCATTATTTAGTTGAAAGTATGTATTATCAGTACATAATGTTAATAACTCCATTATAGCCGATATGTTTAGTCTTGTTCTAGTTGCCAATGAATCATCACTCTCTAATTTTCTCTTGACTATACTTAAAGTCTTATTTAATGGCACATTCGTAAATAAACTATTTATGTCAAAACTTACCAAAGTATTATTTGAATTAAATTCAATATTTGATAATTTATTTAAAAAATGTTGTGTATTTTTTATGAATGTGTCATTTTTATTTGTATAAGGTTTTAAAATATTTAATAAAAATTTTGATAGTTCACTACAAGGAGAATTCATGGTACTACAAATGGGTCTAAGTGGTATATTCGTTTTATGAATTTTCGGTACTCCATAAAAATGAGGAGTCTTAATGTAATGAGGTGTAATTAATCCTCTCTGATAACTTGTTAAAACATCTTTAAACTTGAATAAAGTTCTATATATTTTGTTTTCCAAAGGCTTTGTTGGATCTTTTGTTAATTGTGTATAAAGTATAGCAATTATTAGTATGGATATTACACTTTTTTATTTTCTTTCGTATTAATTATATTAGAATATTAGTATTAGTAATTTGTCATCTATTATTTCTTAACATGTAATTGGCTAAATAGTTAAGTATGTACTAAAGCCACAAAAAAAGATTCCGTTGTCACCGTTATGTTACTGTATTTGGGAATATGTTAAAAAAAAGTGTTTTCTAAACCTGTCACTACTCAGGAAGCTATAATAAATAGAGTCCTTTATGATCTAAACGAAATAAATGGAGAATTAATATCGAGCTACTAATGAAAAACTGATTAAATAGAGTTCATAAATGATTGGATGTTGGTAGGTAAATCTATCATATTTTTAATTGTTCAATGTTTAACTTACAATATGAAAGTTGTAAATTAACGCAACATAGTCTAAGGAAAAAAAAATTCGTGACGAAAATTTATAAAAATAATATATTTAAAAACTGCAAGAGATATGTATGTATAGGGAATACTAATACAGATCGATAGTAAATACATATTTTTCTAAAATAATGAATCACATACATGCCGGTTTTATGTCAATTTTGACAGCACCCTGAATAATGAAAACGGTAACTTTACGCTGTAAACAATAATGCTGTAGGTTGTTAATAATTTTTTCAGGAACTTAAGAACGTAGGGCAAAATTTCGGGCTAATGCTATTTAAATGCATTCATTATTTTCGAATCCTGAGAAAACTAATAAATATTTTTGAAAAATTTAAACGCAGAATGAAAGAATGCAATATTACCGAGGGCCGAAAGTCCCTGAAACCTTCTATAATGTTTATTTTAATAAGTTAATGGAGTGAAAAAAAAAGGAGAAAATTTAGAGTGATTTTTAATTTTAAATATTTCATTTAAAAAAAAGTTTTGTTTATTCTAAGGGACTTTCAGTCCTCGATAATAATGTAATCTTGCATTCTACGTTTAAATTTTTCAAAAATATTTGTTAGTTTTCTCAGGATTCGAAAAAAACATTAATGTTTTTAAAAAGCATTGGCCCGAAATTTTGCGCCTACGCTCTTAAACTTTTATTCAAATTACATTAGAGAATATTGAACTTTATATACATGGTAGAAAAGTTTAGAATGCATGTTCAGAATAACATAAACATTTCTAAAATTAAAAATATACAGGGTGTCCTATTAAAACAAAAAAAAACGATGTTATAAGCACTTCCGGTATAACCGCAAGTAGTCAATAGATGAGAATCTATTTAAAACTCACCCTTTAAAACCCCTTTATTCCAAATGTCATGATTCAATTACCTTTAGTTCCCAAGATATTTCTAATTTATCTTATAGTTTAACAATATATTAGTCTAATTATATTATATTTTATTATTATTTATTTTTTAGAAAAGTCTTCTCATCGAAGGTGAGAAAGAGATTGCCCCTAAATCATTAACAGCACTCGAGGAAGCCTATACTATCACAGAAAAATTTTTGGAAAAGAATAACTATATCGCTGGTGACCAACTAACAGTAGCCGATTTTTCTTTTATTACTTCCATTTCCTCATGGAATGCGTTTTTCAACTTGAAGGAAGCTAAATATCCCAAAATAGTTGCTTGGATGAAGAGAATGCAAGCTCTGCCTTACTACAAGCAAGGAAATCAAGTTGGTTTGGATCAGTATTTTGCAATTATGAAAGACAAAGTTCCAAAGTAGAGCACATCTTGTTTGCTGATTATCACTGGATATTTTCTTAAAACGTCTAATTTTTATTTTTAAATATATTATTCTCAATCTAGCGTATAATTTTACAAAAAAAAAACACCTTTATCCGACACTAAAACAATAGTAGTGAGCTCGAAAAAGTGGCAAAATTTCCGGGGCTTGGTTGCATTCCATAATAGGGTAAACCAGGGCTTCTTAAACTTTTTTATATAGTGACCCCCTTCAAGCTTAGGAAATTTTAAACGACCCCCTCCTCCATATAATGAAATATATATTAACCGTAGATGTAGATGTAATATCGCACTATTTTACAATGTAAATAAAATAAGGATTAAAGAATACGTACCCATTCATTTCACACACACATATATATATATATATATATATATATATATATTATATATATATATATATATATATATATATATATATATATGTATAATTTATTGTGTTGGAATATCGGGTATGCGGTCTGTTATTATTAAAAAAAAAAACTCTTTTTTCTTTTAATCCTCTATATTTCGCTGATTTTTTGTCAGCTTCATCAGGAGACAACTAAAAATTTGAATAAAAGCTATATAAACATCAGTTTGAATAAAAAGTGACTCACTTACAGATTTAGAGTGGAAAGTATTTAAACAAGTTGAACATAATTTGTACATAAAACAGTATTTGTTGAACAATAGTATTTTTTATGATTTTTATTTGTATTTATATTTGAACGTAGTATGTATACTAATTTTAAAATTTTAAAATTTTATTTATAATGATCGAAAAGTATCAGACCTTTGCGACCCCCTTTCAGTAGTCTCGCGAACCCCCTGGGGGTCGCGACCCACAGTTTAAGAAGCCCTGCCATAAATGACATAATTCAACAATCCTCACCGATTGTTAAAGGAAGATTATAGGCTGATGACTTAGTTTTACTTGCCAAAGGAAAAAACTCTACATCTATTCAAAACCATTTACAACAAACAATCAATCAGTTAGAATCATGGTCTAATACTATCGGATTACAATTTTCACCGAATAAAACTAAATGTATTTTATTCACACGAAAACATAACAATCTAACTCCACACCTGAAGCTAATAATCAAATTCTCAGGTTCACAAATAATATCAGATTTTTAGGTATGGTTTTCGACCAAAAGCTCTCCTGAAAAAAAAAACATACAGAAGAACCTAAAAAAATCATGCTAAGCAGGATTAAATTTTATCAAATCTATTTCCTGCAAAAACTGGGAAGTAGATCAAAGTACACTATTACATGTATATAAATCTTTAATTCAATTCAAACTCAACTATGGTGTGATAGTTTATTCATCAAGCAAAGTATCAGTATTGAAAACTTTAGAAACTGTTCAAAACACAGCTCTACAAATAGCTACAGGTGCATTTCGAACGACACCAGTTGAAAGTTTACAATGTTTAACAGGAGAACCATCCCTAAGTTTACGATGCAAATACCGTTGTCCCTCATATGCTTTCGAAATAGCTAGTAATAAAGAACACTCTACTTATACCAATACGTTCACAGATCGATTTCAAGATACTTTCTCTACAAAAAGAGTAGATTCATAATTTTACGAAAGAATTAAAAAAACCTTCATGAACTACATCTTGAACTTCCTGAAATTCTTCCAACAAATTTCCTAACTTCTCTACCTTGGTTAATACCAATTTCCAAGATTAATACTAACATTAGTATATATAAAAAAGTGAGAACTACAGGAGAAGTAAATATCTGCGAATCGGTCTGTGGGGTATTTTCGTTAAAGTCTGGAGAAGATGAGATAAACCTTTTTTGTTAATTAGGGACGTTTGTAGTAATTGTATTTGGTGTTATTTTTACTGGAGTAGGATTTCTGATATTGTTTGAGGTTGATGATGTTGGGATTTTTAAGGAAGATATTTCACTTCTATTACTGATGGATCCTGTCAGGATATCGTCAGTTTCCATAATTTGTTCTGTTTGGTTATTAAAGGATTTTATTGTAATTAACGTGTTTGGGAAGTTTCTGGATGTGCACTAGTGGATGAATTAGCTTTATCAGAACTTTGTAGTTCCGTTTATTTATTAGATGTATTTACTGTAGGTAATATGTTTTGAGAAGTTTCTGAGTGTACATTAGACGTAGTGGGGTTTGCTTGGTTAGAGCATTCAGTTTCCTGTTGTTCAATAGTCTTGCATATTGTACAGTTAAATCCTTTTATAGAAATGTATAAACGTCAAGAGACAATTGTTCAAGAGATAATGAAAGAATCATGAATAGATATATTGTCTAAAAGTGTAATAAATATTTGCCTTCTCAAACTCAAGACATGGTTGTATTCGTTTTCAGGTATATCTACTCTTAGAAAAGTCAATTTGACCCCTAGGTTATACCCATCTGATGTAGTTCTTGTTCAATTAACGTGTTTGGAACAGTAGGACAACCATTTGATATGACTAGTCTTTGAGCTGGGGAGATAGGTCTTCTTATTTCTACTTAAGTTTCTTTTATATTAACATATTTGTAGAAATGTAGCAGTGAATCATCTGCATTTTTAGATGAAAGATATGGACATATTCTATTGTTGGCAATTCTGGAAGCGAAGGATACGTTACGTGAACCAACGGCTATAATATAGTCATAAAGTTTAGTTCCTTTAATATTGGAAAGCACTACAGCTTGTTCTTTTGTTGGATCTTTAAATGTGTTGACAACAGTGGAATATGTGACGATAGATGAAGTGTGAGTAGTATTCATAGTTTTATTCGAAGTCATGGTTGATTAATTTTAAGTCCGGCCCTGTCACCTGTTCAAAAACCAGTGTGGATCTTGACCCAAAAGTTGATAAGGTTTCTATTTCTTCAAATTTTCTTCTAAAAATTACAGATGAGAAGTGTTAGATGAAATTTTTTAGTGACACTCTTTAATGAAATTTAGAGTTTAGGCGTATTACCGAAAAACTGCTTAACGACAAACTTTACTTGTCTCCCTATAAAGAAAAACGCAAGAGAATACGGTAATTACCGCATCATTGGCTTAATGACCCATGTGCTAAAGTTACTACTAAAAGTGATCCATAACCGAATATATCATAAACTAGACATAGACAATAATTATACACAATTTGGGTTTTGCAAAGGTCCATGAACACGTGAAGCTCTTTTTCCACTTAATATACTGATATACAACATCCCAGAGGTACTTTTCAGTGCGTCACATTTTTTCGATTTCTTTCTAATGCATTAAGTTGGATGTGACGGAGAAAGCGGTAGTTCCGTCATTAAACAGAACTATATTGCAGCGTTAGAATAAGCTTACATACATAAGCGGTTCTTTCCTAACCTACGTTTGATTCGATGATATTTAGATGCGCGCTTTCCCTAGTCAATCAAATACGTCTATTACTGACAGTTGACGTAAAACTTCGTCCATGCTGGCCATTCTTTCCAAGTGTTTCAACAGCAAGTGACGGCTGTCTTTCAGGTCAGTATTTGCAAAAAATATAGACGCTATATAATATATTTATATTCTTTGGTATTTGTTTTGTATAATTTTATTTTGAATTTTGTTTTACATAGTATTGTGATTGTGGTTTTATTTGTATTTGTACAAGATGACAAGATATACGGAAAAAGAACAAGTTCTAATATTAAAATTGCTTAAATATTTTCAATTGGAATTTATAAATATTTCACCATGGAATTGTATAAGGAAATATCTTTATGGAAACATCCCCACTGGCAGTATTTTTCTATAATTGTATCTGCTAAAAGTCTAATTTTGTACATACAAACTGTAGAATCGCCTATTTTGACATTATGCGCTAGATGAACAAACTTTGTTATTTATAAATACTTGTCTCTGCTCAAAATGTTGTAAACACAGGAAACTCCTAGGTGCTCATCCAATGACCTGATCTAATTTTATTTCTAGATGGTTCAGGCCTATATTTCAAAAGATCAATTACTACTTTAGCTCCAAGTGGTATTTTTTTATTATCTTCAATATCATTCGTTTTTTTTTTCGCAACAAACGTGAAAATCATAATCATATCCAGTGGAACCAGTTATCATCTAATTCTTATATCCAAATCTGACGGGCTCCTCTCTAATTAATGTTTTGCTAGGTTATGACCGAAATATTTCACCACGAATTTGTCTAAGGATATATCTTTAAGGAAACTCTCAACTGGCAGTATTTTTCTATAATTTTCTATTACACTGATATTCAAATTCTACTTTTCAGTGTTTTCAATAAACTATAATTATTACACATTAGTGAATAAATAGTTTTTATGATTAGAATTATATTTTATTTATGTAATTAATTTAGAAGTTACCTAATAAATTTTTGAAAACAGTCTTTTTTGTGTTACTTATACTATGCCAAAAAGCAGTAGTGAGAATAGAAGAAATAACATCAGAAGAAATGGAAGTACAAAGAGTTGTTCGACAAGGGTGTATACATACACCAGTATTATTTAATATGTATACTCGGAAGATATATTAAGTAAGGCAATGGATTAACGCAACGTAGACATTAGAATTATTGACATGATCATAAATATCCTGAGATACGCTGATGATACAGTTCTTTTAGCCGAATCACATGAAGACCTACAGATACTTCTTAATTAGGTGACCGAAGTAAGCAAAGAAGAATATGGACCATCACTCAACAGAGCAAGAAATACATGATAATAACAAAGACAACTCAGGACATTCGTGAGATATATGTACAGATATATGTCCAGTATATGAGATATATGTACAGAATTCAAATACCTAGATACAACTATTAATGAAAACAATGACAGCTCTCAAGAAATACGAATCAGAATCAAACAGGCCAGAAGCGCAATTACAAGAATACAACGGCTTCTCTGCTGTAGAAACTTAAACCTTAAGTTAAAAATACGACTGCTGAGGTGCTACGTGCTATCTGTATTATAATACGGGATGGAAGCGTGGACACTGAAAAAAATTCACGTGTCACTTCACTTCAACAATTATATGAAATAATGCTCGACACACTTAATTCATTATATGACGTCATAATTAATGACGCACTGAAAAGTACC